CCCCCCCCCCCCCCCTCAGCCGACCGTCCGCGACGACGGCACGTGTGTACGTGCGCGCGCGCGCGCGCGTCGTCGCGAATTTGCCGGTAGGCGATTTGCGACTCTCGTCCTCGTCTCGAGCTTCTCAATCGCGGAGCGAGAGGAGAAAAAAGAGAGAGAGATAGATGGAACCAAGGGAACGCAAAACGGAAGTTGTGTCGGAACTCGGCGTGTCTTTCCGCGCGCACGCACGCACGTGTGTCGCGTGCATGTGCATTAGGCCTTCGTTCCGCGCGTAAGCGCGAAATCCCGAATCCGCGAGGGTGAGGTGAGCGGACGAACGAGGCAGCTGTCGCCATCTGCGCGATCGCGCGGGAACGCGGTTCCTGCGAATCGATCGAACCGCGACGCGGCGTGCGGGGTACGGTAGAGCGGGAGAGGGGAGGGTTTTTAATTTCCTCTCGATGATTTTTATCTCCGACGAGAGATAAAAAGAATATGAGAAATCTTTTTTTTATCGCAAAGTTTTTACGATACTTGGTCTAATTGGTCCTTACTTTACTAATCTATTTTAATTGGAATATAATATATATGTATAATAATATATATATTATATATCTGTGTCAATATCGAATATATTATTTTATTTTTCTCTTTCCATAAATTATAATAAATAACTCTTGACTGTGGTTATATATATTAAACAAAATATTTTACAAAAGTAAATAGCTTGTATGTCGCCACGTGTTCGATGAAGAGTGAGAAAAAGAGACAGAGAGATGTGTCACTACTTGTCTATTCAAAAGTAACTAGACATCTGAAGCGTTGCGCGTGTGTGTGTGGTGTATGTGTGTGATCTTTGGCGACCTCGACGACCTCGTACCTTTCGTATTCTCTTCTAGATAGAAACATTCCCCATGCGGCTGAAGTAACGAACGAATACAAAATATCGTCTTCTCTCATTTCAAACATGATCGTAAACGTATAAATTAGGTCTCGCAAAACATTACGTAAAAAAATAAATTTCATATAGGTCAAACATGATTCGCGGAAATAAATTTTCCACGTCGAAAGCACGTGTACATTGTCAATTGTGTTGAATCATCAATTATATCGATTTACGTATGCGTAATCTCTTTACGAAAGGACATTGCGCGTATGCGACGCTACGTCGAGAAACGTATTGCGGGAAGAGACACGATTATCGCCAATGAGGTCACGGTTGGACTTGTCTTAGGGAGAAGGGCCGCGCGAAACGGTCCCCCTCCCGTTTCTCTTTCAGTGTTTAGTCGCTTTTCAATACGTCAGAAGACAGAAGTTTTTACTAGGCTGAGCTGAGGTAACGAGAGAGGCAAGATGGTTGGTTTACTCTCTAAGGTATGGCGTAAGGTTACAAGTGAGAACTGTGAGGCTGTTGTTCGTAAAACAGTACGTAGGCTTCACTGGAAACGACCGATCGTGCTGACACGACGGACACTCGGCTGTCGTTATACTCATGCCATTCCCCCGAGTACGGGTGCTTGCAGTACGCGGTGTAGTGACCGGAGTACGTGGTGCCCGAGTGATTCGCGACCCCGTACAGATTGTACGTGCAGCCCGGAACTCTCGGGGCGGCAAAGGCACTGAGATCCAAACCCGTCAATGGAAAGTCCACCATCACGTTCAGCTTGCCGCGAAAGCGCTCCATCGGAGAGAAACGTTTCAAATCTAACGGATGGCATTAAGAAAAATATTTGTTTTTCTTACACACAATTTGAGCTATCTCTATTAATAAAAAGTTGATTGGAATAAATATATAGTAATATAACTCGGCTAGTTTTATATATATAAATGTTCGTGTTAGATCGGTTAAAGAAAGGATACGAATAACCAAAATTTTCGGGAATTTCTGTATGCTGAAGCTCTTGGTGCACTTTCTTCTCATCTGACATTTAGAACATGTGGGCTTCTCGTCGCCGTCCAACACCTCCTCTCGAGTAAAGTGCTCCAAGCACTGGCTAAGCTTTACCGTGCCGCTTCTGGCTGGTATCGGCAAGCTTAGGTCCCAGAACGGATCGAGGGTGACCGATACGTGATCGCAGGAGGTGCAACGTAAAGATGAACGTAATTGCCCAACGAAAACGTCGACTATCGTGCTATCCTCGCTGCGAATATACCGTTTCCAACTCTCCACCGCCTTCTGCATATCCCTATACATAAAGTAACAGCGTCAAGTATATGTATGTTGTCAACTAAATATATATCCCGTAAATATATAGCTTCCTTACGTGTAACTATCAGGTATGTCGCCGTGTATGGGTGGTAGCTTCGTGGTGACTCTGTTGACGTCCTCGTGCAAGCCCTCCAGCAAATATCTGAGAAACTCTTGAGCGTCCTGTTGACTATAGCCCATGAAACGTGGCGCAAATCTCTGTATCTGTGACTTGAGCGCGGTCGTGTTTACCACGTGATCACCGCCCACCTCCCACAATTCGTGAATCACTTGGCTGAACGCTTTGATCAAGGCGCCTTTCATACCGGATGTCGTGGTATTTATGTCGGCCAAGTGTTGTTCGTTTAGCAGATACTCTAATAGAGGTCTCGTGTTGCTCAAGCACTGGATCACGCTGTTCATGAAACACTAAAACGGTCGTGCGGATGTTAATGGGCTGTACGTAGCGGTAAAACTTTACAATAAAAATGACGTTTTGTGTTGAAGATGATACTCACTGTATTTCCGATATTCCGTAAGCCGTTTAGACCACATCGTTCGTCGCGAAGAGCTTGCAGACGACTACGCGCCGACCTGTTAGTCGGGCTTCCCTCCTGAAAGTAATTAGACAAATTAAATTTTCTACACAGGTACATACCGTGAAACTATTATCAATTAAATTTTGTTTCACAGAGTCCGTGTATCGTTGCAAATACTGTCGTCTTGAATCGTTCGTTGAAGTGTCCGAGCATTCATTCATCCATTCCGATCGGTAGAAATACCACAAGTCGCTCGATAAGGGGAGGCTTAAGCGTCTCGCGATAGCAAACAAACTTGCGTCACACAAATGCAAACTGATAACGCGTTAGTAACACTTTGTACTTGTTAGGTACACACGTGTGAGATATATGCCTCCGTCAGGCCGCGTGTTTATTAAAGTACACTCAAATGGGACAGGTCAAATGTAGCGCTTAAACTTAAGCGATTGATGAAAACAAAACGCGACTGTTATCGGCAACTAGCAATTTACAGAGAAGCGTCGCGATCACACGAGTACTCACCTGCGAACGCGCAAACGAGGATCGGACGATACGCGAAACGGCGGGCCGAGTTATCGCCGAATTACCGAGGCGTAACGAACTGATTCTCGAAGCGACACGTTTGGGAGGCCGAGTTATCAAAGGTGCCGCGATACCGAGAAAGAAGGCGTAAGTAAGCACGAGGGCTGTCACCGTCCACAGACACGACAAAGCCCATCCTATCGCCTGAGCGTGATCCAGTTTACGCGCAGCGACTGCTTGCTATCTCGGAAGAATTGGCGAGCGATACGACGCCGGATTAAAACTTTTATGTGCGTTACGCACAATCTGTCGTCCACCCGTCCGCGCAAAAAAAGCAACGTCATTTATTTACGTCATGTTCGTCAACGTCGTAATTACAAAGCGCTGCTTTAACGACCGTGATATCTTGCGATATCATTTTTGGCGAAACGCCAAAAGTATAGGATTCTTAGAAACGTGTTTTTTACGATTAAGATACGAGAACTTGGGATTTCCATTATTTCTTCTTGAGCGAGATGAACTCGAGTGACTCGTGAACTCCATCCCGTTAGAAACAGTTCAAGGAGAGTTTACGGGAAACCCGGAGATACGACTACAATCGCGATTATTCGTCCGAATCGATGCATTGCTGACGGCATCGGAGAATCCTCGCGCGAGGGAAGCGTGCGAAAACTCGGTCGACTACCGTAAATCACCACGGCACACTGTGGCTTCGAAATCCGTTGACAACATGCCTCTATCTCCCGGAGAGTTCGAGAAGAAGAGAGAGAAAGAGCTCTGAGCTATTAATAAAACGCGAGCGACTGACTCCGAAGAGGCTCTAGTTGGTGACGGCGAGAGGGCAAAGAGGTTTCGCAACGAGACCGGGTGGGAAGTAAACGAATCGCGTGGCGACGGTATAGTTCTCGCCTAACGTACGTCGACGCACGATTGAATTTGTGCATTGATAAATGAATAAATCAGTCTCAAATCTCCTTTCTAAAAGGAACATCACTCTCCTGTTACAGTAATACAATCACTTTACACAACGGAATCGATCTTCCGAGACATACGCTTCTCTGAGGATCTCTCTTTCACGCTTGATTCTGTGACATTGCAACTACAAATATACAAGCTCACACATATATACACGGTATACATATTCCGTACAGAAGAACGTACGCCGTTAAGCCTATGTATATTCAGACAGTGATTATTTCTCAGCGATTCGATTGTACTTCGATCCATGCGAACACACGTTATACTCACGTCTTTGATGCTACGGTCGTGAGGTTCGTGATTGTCGATTTAAAATGTTACGAAATTTCACGGCGCAGCATTGACTGAGCAATTATGAAAATGACGAAGAAAGAAAACGTCATAAACGTAGAGATGATTATGAGGATGTTTGTTAATCGATTTGTTAAACGATCAATTAGTAAAGATCGAGAATTAAACGTGATCTATGCTGCTCCGCGTCAAAGCTGGTTACTTTCTCTATAAGCGCACTCACATATTGCTCGTTGACCCCACGATAGATACTCGGATGCGCCGTGGATGGATTCGTCGGTGACGATGTCAGATTGTTGCTCGCGGTACCCGAGAAAAGACCGGGCTGATCCGTTCTCCTCGACGTCGAGGGGATGGACGGGTCGTCACCGTGCGTGGCGGACGGTCTACCGGCTATGTTGTCAATCGTTCCGCCAAAGCCGTTCTCCGTGCTACTGCACACGCTGTTCTCTTCCCCGCCATCTTCGGGAATGTCCCGATCGCTGACGCGATCGCGTTGCAGAAATGTGACGATCGGCGTGACATTCTCGGCGCCGCGCGTTACCTCGTCGCTTGTCGTGATCTCGGCATTCTCGGCTTCGTCCTTCCCTCCTGTCAGCTTGTCCCGAGCGTTGTTATTGATCAGCAGCTCGGCGTTATGAGAATTAGTAGCGAGGTTAGTTAACAGGTCAAGGCTATTGACACCGATCAAACCACCACCACCAGCGGCAGGGGGTGAGAGAACGTTACGCTTAGCGGATGAGACCTCGTCTGGTCGGTGGCGACGCTGCTGGTGGAAGCGGTGGTGGCAATTGTTGAGATTATCGTCGCCGTTCGCGTCGTCGTCGTCCTCGTCCTCGTCGTCGTCTTCGTCCTCGTCGTTGTCGTCGTCGCGCTCGTTGTCGTTGTTGTTAACGCCGTATCCGCACGCGATATCCTCGTCGTTGCCGTCGCGCCCCCTGTCGCCGATGTTGCCGTTGTTGTTATGCTGATCGTCGTCGTCCTTGGTACCGTCGTTCTCGTCGTCGTCGTCGGTCGGTTTGTGAGTAACGTGATCGTCGACGGTGGTCGTTACCTCGGCGAGAGACACGGCGCTGTCCGTGCGTGCATGTCCGACGGTGGTGAGCACCGTGCTGTTCGTAGGCGGTCTTCTCTTGCCGGACTTGGACCATAGACCGGCCGCGCTACCAGTAGCCACGGACGAGGAGGAGGACGACGAGGAGAGCGAGGACTCCAGGCGGAGATCCCTACGCTCGACCTCGCGCTCGTCACCGCCAAACAACTCGTTCAGGGACGACGACGTCGAGCGGTGCCTCCAGTGATGCGCGCTGCCACCGCTCGCTTGTTGTTGACGTTGAATACTGGGTACGTAGCCGGCTGGCGAGTACCTGCTGATGATGTCGGCGGCCGCGGCGGACGCGTCGACGCTGCTGCGTTCCCTCGAGGACGCGGACGAGCTGACCGAGGCGCTCGTGGACGAGATGTATCTGCCACTACCGCTGCCGCTGGTGCCGTTAACGATCGTTGTCGCTAATGCGGCGCCGCTGCTGCCGCCCGTTTCGCCGTACGACGACGACGAGACTGACCTGCAAAATTCGCCCGACATAAGAATATTGCGGTCATCGCGTTTCGTCGAACCGGGCCTGTGGCCAAGGTCCCCTGCTCCCCTACCGCGATCGCGTTATGCAACGCGCGCGAGTATAGATGCCGTTCTTCGGTATCTGGCGGAGGGACTCGCGCGCGTTGCAGAGGCTACTAAGATACAAGCGTTTCCGCCGCCAGCGACTGGGCGACGCTACTTCTACTTCGAGGTTTGGAGGTCACTAAATCAGACCCGCGACACCGTTTGCAAAAGCGCGACAGCCTCGGAACGCCGACGCGCTCGTACTAGATATTTAAATATATTCTCATGGGGGAATAACGCGGCCGCGAGATCGAGAATCCAGGGTGGAGTGCGTCGTCGGGATCTGAGGAGAGAAAATCTGTGCGACACAAGGGTATCCGGGACGCGAACGCGCCCTGCCCACACACAGGCCGGATAATCTCGCGAGGTCAAGGTCCACGACTACATTCCGTAGCGCGAGCGTGCTTATTTAAAATCGATAAATGCGGCTACGTGCTCTCTCGACGGGCATAACACAGCTGCGCGAATTTCAATGGTGCTTTATATCCCGTCTGGGTCGCCGCGTCCGTCCTTTCGACAGAGAATTCAGAACGACGGCAAGATGCATTGATTAACGGCACCGAGATAGGGCTATCTGACCCGGAATAACAGGTAGCAGACCTAGCGCAGACCAGTTTACGCTGACCTCGACCTTTAACGTCGGACTAATGCTAGTTACCCAGGTCACATACGAATGGGGATCTACATGTCGGGTCTGCCTTCGTAATTGAATTATAGTGACGTGAACATAAAGGTAAGTGACGCGCGAGACTTCCAGACGTTCTACAGCAATGAACAGGTGCGATATCATTAGAAGGTGGAAAACAGACATTACTATGTATTATTAAAGGAATAAAAATAAAGCGATATTCACTTTACAAAACTATTTAGTAGAAAGTTATCTCAAGGATACGAGTTTGATATTGATTAGCAGCATCTGCCTATCGTAGACATCTCAATTCTCGTCTCCGTAAGTATCGGGTTAGTTTCGTTATCTCCCTAAGGTCTACATCCTATTTCGAGGATCGCTCACCTTGCGGGTGAGCAGTTGGATCGACTGTACTCCGACGAGTAGTTCCTGCGGACGCTCGTGCCGGTGGAGGCCGACGAGTAGAAGCTGCGGGGCCGATCGAATGTATATAAGCACTTTGACAAAATTCTAATTCAATATTTCGGGAGTTGCCATCGGCAGCGCGCGTTGACTTTGTACATTTGTCTTTCGACGATACCACCGGAAACTTGTACCTTTCACCTTCCTGCATTTAATTTCACGTTCAGTCCAACCGCAAGATCCGTCAGCCGAGGAAAGAATTGCGACAGCGCGCGTGACGTCTTACATATTTAATTAAAGACTTTAATCGCCAGATTTCATGTAGATCGATGTAGGAAGGAAAAGTTTTGCATGCATCGTTTAGCATGATTGCAAGGTACGCTCCCTCGACTCGGCGGCACCTTGCCGTTCAACCGTGTCTACTTTCTCCACGTTGTTAACCGCGCGATAAATATTACATCGGTATACGACTAAACGACACGTTCTTTTCCCGATCGGCGCGAAAAATACGAGAAAAAGGAACTTTACGCAGAAGTCAAAATAAGAATCACGCGGATAAGCAATAAAGCTCGAACATTCAACTTCACGTATTTGAGTTTACACACAAGTTACACGTTATATGTTGCTTTACAAAAAAAATTCATACATTTAAGTCGCGGTACGCAAAAGCGGAAAACTGACTCGCCGAGGGTTTACTGAGAAATTCCCCGAACTGCTGACGATCGTCATTTCTGTCGGGGAATACTAACGAGATACTGACCTTCCTGGCGCGCAATAGGACCGCCTGTACTCCGAGGAGATGTAGTTGGAGCGCAAGCCCGTGCTCGTGGACGACGTGTAGAAGCCGGTGGGCCGGTCCAGGAGCGAGGACGTGCCGGTGGAGCGGTAGGTGTTGAACTTGGACGTCGTGCTGCCGATCGTGGAGGTGGTGGTGCTACCGCTGCCGGTGCCGCTGGAGTACCTCCGGCTAGGCGAGTGCGGTGCCATTGGACTGGTGCTGTACGAGACCGCTACGGCGCCCGCTTGCCCGCCACGATGATACGACATTGTGCGCTGCGGGTCGCCGATCTCCTCGAGCTTCTCCGTCGAGTTCCTGAAATTCATTTTACTGCACTATTCTCGCGTGACTCTAAAAAAAAAAGAATATATATGAAAGTAAAAATGAATATGCGCGTAAGAGGGAGAAGAGCTTTGTCAGCGATATTAAATTCTTCGCGACTTCGAGACGGAGAGATCCTCTCGCGAGGATCTCTCGACGTTCTCTCCAGCCTCCCGCGGAGGAATCCTCCGACCGCGGCGCGCGAAACGCTTCTTTTTCTCGTAACTCCCAACAAACAACAAGACGAAACAAAAATAATCTCATAACGTCCCTCGAACTTGATACTTTCGTACATGAAATAATTTACTCCTAAACTTTACTTTACCCGCTTTCACTTCTCGCAGTCGAAGGATCGATATCCGCGGACGAGAGGTCTACTTTGAGAAGTCAGATCGACGACGACTTTTCTTCGACGGGGAACTCAAAACTCGAGGAACGCGGGCAGCACGTCGCGCGAGAATCTCTCCCGCGGCAATCTAAATCTGATAATCGCTCGCACCCGCACGCTCGTATCGCGGACGGCAGAAGACTCATTATCAGTCGGTACACACGCAATACGTGCGTTAACGTAACAATTTCGACCGAGTGCCATTATCGATAATTGCCTCGCGCGGTGATATAACGTCGGCCTTCGTGACGCGATTGAAAATCGCGCTGAGATGTAAAACGAATAAAACGAATTGTGCTCTCAGCAGCGCGACGGGGCTTAATTCGGGCTTTACCTCCATCCCTCGCGTTCGAGTGTATCGCGTCACCTTGCCCTCCTTTTCTACGGAATTTCTCTAGAGATTGTTATATCCAGCAGAGAGAGAGAGAGAGATATGGCGGTCGGTCGAGAGCTAATCGCGTCACATCGTACATATACACGCTCGATATCGGTTCGAGAGAAGACGTCAATCAAGTAAACAGAAATGTACCAATATACGATCGCATTGGATCTCTTTTGTATCTAATAATATTTTCCGCACGAATGTACATTTGCAAATTCTAAAGATACGTATTAGTATCGGTATTGTTAAATTGATTATCATTTTAATTATGTAATCGTACTATTCTAGCTGCCGCCTGAAACTGCGTCTCAAGACCGATAATAGTAATTGGCGTGTAATTTACTAAACAAAAAATGTACATAAATTCACGCAGAAAATATTATTCGGTACAAAATATCCAGCCTGACCGTATATTAGCACATTTTCTATTTCCTTCATTTACTTGATTAATTATCATAATGTCATGCGTCACTCATTATGACGCATAAGTCACTTTTTTGTAAAAGGATATCTTACGTTACGCCGCTGTTCACCGATCGTTCGCTATATGATCGTCTCTGTGAGTAATCGTCGCAGACGAGGAAACGTTACGCTGGCGAACGGGAAGAGACGCGCGCCTCGCGATCCTGCCAAATCGACGGCGGCGCGTCGCGGCGCGGCGTCGATAGGACGCGAATCCGACGCCCGCGGGGGCGATTTTTCTCCCGCGATCTGGCAGCCGTCCCGCTTTTCCGTCCCGCGCGAGTCCGACGCGCAGTTAGAGAACGCCGGAATCCAATATAAGTATAAACCGCGTCGTTTCGGATTTCGTATTACGATCTAGGCGCCGACGCGCGTCCGCCACGCAACCTCGGAGCGGCGAATTCGCGACACGTGTCAGCAGGAGCGACGCGGGGCGTCGCGGGGGAAATACCCGCACCGGGTGATCCCCGATTACGTGTCGAACGGGCGAAGCCGGAAGCGCGAGGAGAAGAAAGATGCATGGATGCAGGTCATTTAAATCGTATAGTATCGCGGACGGTAAACAGACTCGAGTCTCGAAAGATTAATGTCCTTTGGACGGCCAACAATAATTATCGCGTTAACGTCGCCCGGCAATGAGATCCGTATTGTTC